TGCACTTATCAGTCAAATGCATGCACATTTGCTAAAGCCAAGGTATAACACGATAATATTTTCAAATACTTCACAAATGACCCCCTCCATGCCTCTTATCTGTGAAGATATCTTAATCACAAAGGCAGATAAGAAATGTTATAAAATCGTATCATTTGATGAAGTATTCCATAAGTTGATCAGTACAACCTCCAGTTGAAAGCAAATTTTGGTTCACAAGTTAGAATTACATCATTATTTGTTTCACAAAAAATGTAACGCTCTAAATGAACAGAAACCTTCTAAAGCTCAGCTAACTCATTGACATATAATTACATTTGACATACAAAAAGCCCATTTTCCATAGCCTCCCCTACCCTCTACCTCGTCCTCATCTTCTCCTATTGGCCTCCCCTACCCTCTACCTCGTCCTTATCTTCTCCTATTGGCATTGCACAGGATGACTGCAGGAACATACCTTCAGCCAGTTTATATTGGCATGTAATGACTCCATTAAACCTTATAAGCAATCAAAATTATGCATATAGGGATGAAAGAAATGAAGGACTTCAACTAGTCTTCAACTTTTCTTTGCAAAACATAGAAAATAAAAACCAGAAATCAACTAGAATGTAAAATAAAATAGATCAAGTTAGATGTCCATTAGACCTGAAGTGACTCCTCAGTATAGCTTTCTTTCACTTTATGCAAGTTAGATATTTCAACAACAATAGAGCTTCCACTTGAATAACCCATCTTCCCATCTAATGTAATCTTTGCAACAGACTCAAGGACACCCTCATGGGAACTAGACCCAGACATGCTGGCAGCAAGACGGCTACTAGCAGAAGCAGATCCACCAGAAGCTCCACCAATGCTATTATCAAATAAAGGAACAATAACCCAGGTGAAGGACTCTCTGTAAGGCATAATTCGAGACCACACCTGCAGTTTCTGCCTTTCTCTCTCAGTCAAGTGCACCTGTTAAGGAGAAGATAGAGAACAACAATAATTATAAGGAATTTATTTGAGATGCAGAGGGTAAAATGTGCATTTACCTTAGAAATGATTACCATTAAGCAATAACAATAGTCAAAAACCATACAGCTACTAAAATAAATCAAAATTATATTTGTTTTCTCCAAGCTTTCATCAACTCTAAAATATTAAGAGTGTCCTACAACAAACTTGATGTTCAATTCAACATTAGTGGCTGAAGATCTACCCTCATATTCCAATAGCCAAAACTATGTTGCCTCACACATGCAACAATTCTCAACTGACCTAGTTTAAATTATTTATAGACTTTCCTAATCATCTGTTCACTAAAATGAGAACACTTAGCATGCCATGTAACAATTTAAGTTCAAATACACAACAGCTGCATCACCAGGTTTTTTTATTGCTTTGTTTTCTCTCATCTTTTAAAATGTCAACTCCAGTCGATTAATATTTCTGAGAAATAAACATCCCTTCCTACTAGACGTACCAAAACATTGAATTCTAATCACCTATGAGAAACAATTTCATAATCAACTGATCCAAAACATTAGAGTGACAAAAGGATCAATGCAAGCAAAATAGAAGTCATTTATAAGTTGTAAGGAAGCATAGATAAAAGAAAGTATGGTAATATGTAGCAGTAGGAGCATAGATGAATGAACATGGATGAAAATCAGTATGGATGAAAATCCACTGAAGAATTACTAATTTCACAATTATCTTGCTGTAAGAGAAAGACCAAATGCTCCACCATCTCAGCTAATGGTCAATCACCCTGGCCCAAAAACTAAAATATCAAGCATTAATTGCAATGCCAATGATTAGCTAACTTATCTAGCAGATGCAGAGCCATTATTTTCCACAGTAAGAACTACAGTAAAAACCAATTGAAAGACAGATGATGAGGGGGCGACAGTTAAAATTCTTGCTGCCAAATAACAAGCAAGCCAACAGGTAAAAATCTTGCTGCCAGGTAACAAGCAAGCCAACAAAAGAGAAATTTTGTCACATTTAAACAGAGGTCGCATTGAAGATGAAAAAGATGGAAACATATAAGTTCTTCATACATACAGGTTCTTTACCTGAATAAACAGAAGGACTCACTCCCGCATCTTCTGTTGCAGACTTCTCTAATTGGATTAGTAGACACACAGATGCGGACGGAGCATCTAAATAGAAAAGTCCACGAGGTTCTGAAGATATCTAAACCATAAAAGTTACCGAAATATTAACAATCAATAACCGTGAATGTTCTTCAACTTCATATATTTAACTTTTTTGATGTTTCCGTACTAAAATTCAGATTTTAATTGCTATTTACTAATTATAAGAACAATCAATCTTCAAACAAAGAAAGCAAACCTTCCATGGTTACAGAAGTCTGCCATTGAGAAGAATGCAGATAGACCTAAAAGTGCAATCAGAATCACACCTTGCTCTTTGAAAATCTTAAGAACCATAGAAACCTTAGGTCACGCATTCCTCAACAACAATGCCTACTGCTCAATCACTCCGTACCCTGCATTCACCACTCCCTCCACCACAAGCACTCTCTTGCACGCGAAAACCAAAAGACAACAAAGCATTGCCCAAATAAAGACTCCTTGCTTCAGCAAAATCTTCAGAGACTTCAAATCCAAGCCTAAAACCTCATCTTGGTCACCACCCAGATCATTGTTTTCTTCACTTAAGATCTCAGATGAGCTCTACCGCCAACAATGCCAGGTCTCCGCAATCTCAAATTGTAAATTCCACCAAAAATGGACGGATTGAAACAACTGGAGACTACACGACATGGAAAGTGATTACCTTTGGATGAAAATTTTATTGAGCATTTCAAATTTCGATTGTGTTGCACGAAAAAGGAACACTTGGATCCAGAAATGAAGGAGGGTCAATTGATGATAGCAGATTCAGGTGCCCTAACCCCCACGATAGTTACAGCTGAAGGAAAACGTTAAAAACTTTAAAAACACGAAAAAAAAAAAAAAAAAAAAAACCCAAAATTGTATTCCCTTTCCCAATCCTATTCCACCTTGATCCTGTTGGTATTGTGCACGTTAGGTGATAAGGTAAAAACAGAGGTTAAGGGAAGATAATACGGGTATTGATT